AGATTTAGATGGAGGGGTAATAAATAATTAGGAATAGAATGTGCCCCCAACTCGAACGACGGAAAAAACCGACTCATGCATGAACCTAAGACATGGTCATGGTGATACATGTACTCAAAGTGTGTGCTAAGACTAGTGAGTGTAGGTGATATGTTAAGACTCGTGTCATGAACATGTGGCTAGACTATGTGACTAGACTCAATTAATGAGTCGACAAGGTGTTATTGACAGCGAAATTTAACCGAATTAATTCGCAAACTGGTTAATTAGACACTAGGTGATGACTCGACCAATAATCCAAATTGTCGGCAAAACAACAGGACTGGCGTCGCATTGTGTAGTGTAGTGTAGCGCCAGACGACAGAGTTGTCGCCAAGCGCCACACTCCACAGAGTGGCGCTACAGTCCAGACTTTGGCGCCAATGCTGGAGCTTCAATCTGAGACTGTTTTCGGTGTTATTAATCAACAAGGGTATGCCTAAAGTCGTACTAGGTCAATTTTGATAAAAAAATTGACTTTATTTACTCAAATTAATTAATTAGTTAATTAGGCAAAGTTCTTTTAGTCATTAATTTATTTAATCTCAACACAAGTCAAACAAACGGTTAAGGAAAGCATAGTGTATGCACAACAAATAATGCACAATTATTAGTCAAGTAGGCACAATATGATGCAATGAGTTTGCAACCTAACCATGGCTCTAGTTCTCTAAAGTTCGGGATATGGTTTAGTCAATAGAGGGTCCATGGTTAATTGTCCGGATGCACCGCGCGGAAGCATAAACGTGAAGGGTTGGCGCGAGTGGATGGGACACCGCGAGTTTAGAAAAAACTCGCTTCCATGGTTTGGTGAATTCAACATTCTCGGATGTACCCTTTGTTGCTCAGACCGTTCAATCAGGTAGATGGAGCATGAATTCCCAGAGGGTTATGTCCATATGTAGAACACATATGGGTTTCAGAATAGTGAGAAAAACTCAATCAGGGATCAAGCAAAAAATACGAAAAATTGGTCGAAATTAGAACGCATATTTCTGGCTCGTAATTGGAAGAATTTGGCGCCAACAAACAGAGCTTGGCGCCAGGTTTTAGCTGTAGCTCCTGGCGCCAATGCTCTGGCCTCTAGCGCTTATTCCTACATGCCTCAGAAGCTTTCTGTGCCCGATAAAGTTTTCCAGTTTCACGCAGTATTATTTCGGTTCTAGTTGTGAAAGATATTTCTCAAATTTCCTACGTGTAAAATCCTATGTTTTTAACTCATTACGGATGGTCTTTCCAATGAGATCTTTTTTATGCATATGAAAATAATGTTAATCAAAACAACACACATGAAATACTTAGAACCTTTTGAGTCTCATCCACTCATTCTAAATCATTACCGAAACAAATTTAGGAATTAAAATAGAAATCCTCCCTAGTGGAGTCGCCAAAAACTGTAGGGAATAATTTCAAGCGTTAACCCCTAGCTTCAACCCCACTGTAATCATACACTAAAGTACGGTGGAGTTCAAAGGGAAATAAGATAGAGCAAAAGAGTCGCCAACAAGTTTTAGGAACTTGTAAACCGTTAACAGGATGAAGGTTACACCCCTTAACGATCCAAGAGATCATCAACTCCAAAAGGTCTTGAACTAAATAAGGGTTCGGGGATGAAGGTACAAATCCAACCTAAAAGATATTGAACATGCCCTAATAATAGGCCTCTACTTTATTCTGATCGTATTCATGTGCGCTTTCTGACTAACATGCAATCAATAGGTTTACCCTAAACCTGTTTATCTATGTTGGTTGACTTTAATGCACAAATAAATCTATTATTGGCAATCACTTGAATTATAATCAAATTAATCCTAAACAAGATTATTAATTATCTTATTAAGCGTGATTACAAGTACAATTTCCCTTTAAACATTCATAAAAGGTGATTAAGCAATAACAATAAATAAGCATCAAGCAACATAATAATAATCATGAAATTATAATCATGATAATAATAATAAATAATTATAACAATTATAAAAATAATCATGTTAAAGAATATAATAATAGCAAGATCCTAGGTATGATACTAACAAGATTAATAAAAAAACCCTTGCATGTCACTAAGCAATAAAAATCATATCTTTAACCCTAACATGATACTAACAATCATAAATATTTGGAAAAACATAAAAGGCATCATACTTTTAATCATACTTGATATTAAAGTTACCCTAGACATGATACTAGGAATCATAATAACATCATAAACATGATTCTATATCATAATATCAATTAAACCATTAAAGTACTTACTTTGATGCCTCGTACCTCTTTCTAATAACAAAATACACACGTTAGTAACTTCAAGGAAAATAATAATCAAAAAAATTAAATTAAATAATTGAAAGAGAGATTTGGGACTAAACCCTCAGAAATTAAACCTTTCATGTCTAGGGCGAAGGAAACTTCGAATATGGCTAGGTGTTTCTAGATCTAATGAATGTGGAATTTTTATATGTAAAAAGCTAGTTTAGAAAAGAGAGAGAGAGAAAGTAATCAAGAGAATATTGATGAGAGTTGGTGAATGATTATGGATAGCTGGTTGTTGATTAAAACTGGTTCGGCGCCAACGTCGGCCATTGGCGCTAGGCGCCAATGCTAACGCCAGGCGCTACAGCTGGCGTTTGGCGCTGATCTGGAAAATCATGCGTTTTCTTAAAATCAGATAAAAATTGCCGTACAGGAGGATAAAATCGTATTTTCCTCAAAAATGCTCTTTGATTTCAATTAAAACCCTGAAAAGTCGACAAAAGTCAATTTATCAATGCTAATTGAATTAGGAATGATAAATCTACATTAGGCCCTCCCCTATATCATTGGGTCGTATATGAGGCTCAAACCGGGCCCAGTTTAGTAAATTGGCCATAACTTCCTCAATATTTATCGGAATTGGGCTTATAATATATCGTTGGAAAGCTCTTGTCAAGCCTCATCCAACTACACTACTATTGGACCCATATCATGGGCCAACCAAACTGGATTGGCTGTTTTATTAAAATAAGTTTTCAAAAATAGAGAGAAGAGAAAAGAAATTAAAACTTTCCGCAACACTAAACTTTCCACACTTTCACTTCATTCGATTATGATTCGACGTGAAAGGTACTCATCAATGGGTTTGGTTTTGGGGAGACACATATGGGTGTCTACAAATATTCATATTTTCTTCATTTCTCAACTTATAAACTTATTCTTTCTCAAACTATTTCAGATTTTGCATGGAAGCAAAACTTCTAAGAGAAAGAGGGTGGACAAGCCTAAAAGCATTGATCAACTTATAATATGCTCTTTTGATGTGATTTCTTTCCTAATACACCTATAAATAGATAATATTGGCATGTTATGATATAAATAAAGTTCATTTAATAAGAAATGTAAGAAATGGGTAAAGTAAAGTCATATAGGCCATATTCGGGCCATTTTGAGTAAAAAGCGTCATAAACCTTAATAAAATGCTCTTTTGATTCAATTTTAGGGCTTAGACACATAAAACTACCCAACATTGACATGTTATGAGAAAAAAATAGTTCATTTGATAAGTAATGTAGGAAATGGGCTACATAGAAATCATATAGGTAATATTTGATAAAATACATATTGTTTTGCCTAATTAATTAATTAATTCTAACATAATGTTTTTGTATTTCAAGTTTTGCAAGGTCCAAAAGGATGGTCCGTTGATAATAAAGGAGCTTAATGAAGTTCGTTACATGTTGGCGTCTTTTTTCACATTCAACATGTAAATTGCATTTTAATTGTAAATTATTTATGTTAACTTTTGAAAAATATATATATATATATATATATATATATATATATATATATATATATATATATATATATATATATATATATATATATATATATTCATTATATATTTACTTACTATCATTTGTGTGTGTGTGTGTGTGTATATATATATATATATACACAACACGTTTTTTTAATGTATTGCGTTTTGGAATATTTATATCTATATATATATATATATGAATTCTTGTTTTTAATATTATTTTTGTATCTTATTGTAATATTTAATAATATTATTATTATTAGTAATTATAGTAATAATATTATTAATTATTTTATTTAATATAATTGTTGGAATTACAGGTTATTATTATTGCTGGAAACAGGTTTTTTTTTTTTTAATATTATTGCACGAAAAATGGAAAAAAAAAATTTTGAGTAACCCAAAAAAAATGGTGGGAGACTATTTAAGGCACCGGTTAACCGGAGCCAAATTGGTTATAGTGCACCGGTTTTGAACCGGTGCTAAAAAGGGGGTATTTGGCACCCCCCACATAGAATGCGGTTCAAACCGGTTTCTTAGATCGGGTTTGAACCACTGCCAAAGCCCTTTTTTCACCTAGTGTAAGGATTATCTGTTGCCTTGAATTTTGGGATGTCGTTGGCATTGAACTTATGCGGAAGAAGTTCCTTGTCCACCAAGACCCCTTGTGATGTAATGCCTTGAAACTTGTAATCACTAGATAGCTTACTCAAGCTCTCTTACATAAGGTCCATTTGTTGTTGCTTCACAGGGTCATTGATTTTGAGAGCTAAAGCCTTCAACGCCTCATTCACGTCAGTCCATTGACTCCTAAGTTCATTAACTTCCTCTTGAGTTGCCATTATCTTGGTAGCTTTCCTCTTTTGATGAATCAGTTTATCAAAAAGTAACACTAGTAGAAAATTACAATTCCCCACTGGTTCAAAACCCCCCTATGCCACCGGTTTTGAATCGCTGGGCATTTGGGGGGTGGCAATAACCGTATAAAAAGCCACCGGTTCAAAACCGATGCCAAAAATAAGTTTTGCCACCGGTTAACCGGTGGCAATATATATTTTTGCCACCGGTTAACCGGTGGCAATAACCTTTCCCGCTTTTTTTAAAGAGGTTATTGGCATTGGTTCCTGGTCAAAACCGATGGCAATAATGGCCAAAAAAAAAAAAAAAATTTGCATTTTTTTCACTTAAAATGATATATAAACACTTACATATATATTAACTTACATTTTTTCATAAAAAAACTGTAAAATTACAATATTCCTCGAAAAACAAAGTGGCATGAACGAAATGAATTTTTAGGCAAATTCTAAACCAGCATTAAGCCCGTTATCATGTTGTCCAGTACCTTCTTCACTGTAAGCCCTTACAGTAGTATTTGGTGAATTCTTTGCTTGGTTATTTGCCACTTCCTCCAACTTCATCATCCTCATCCCGAAGCAACTGATCTAATTCTGGCTAGATTAATTCTTCCTGAAATTGACAGACTTTAGTATATTTTCACCAAATTACAAGTTCATTATTACGGAAAAAGTAAAATTCCAGACAATACAATCAATCAATCAACTTATTGCATTTTGAACAAGAACCTACACAAATCAGAGTAAACAAATCATAAATCAGATAAACAAATCAAACCAGTATTTGGAATAAACAATTTACAACAGCCTCGGTAGGGCAGAGCAGAAGTGACAAGCGATAGTAGCTCTAGCAGAGCATATAGTGCAGCATCTCAGTCGGCAGGATCAAGTTGCTATGCTGATTTTCAGAAATGTAGCACAGGACAAGTGCTAAGAGTCTCTCAGGCAGGACCAGGCCACATGCACAGGCCACTTCCAGCCAACTTAGAACAAAGGAAAACTCAAAGATTGGTTTTGTACATATGTTTAATAGATCTTCACCAAAAAAAAAATAATAAAGGGGGGGGGGGCTATATGTACTCGGTGAAGTCCCCTTAATAAATTTTGCAAAGAGAGATACCAGTTGTCACAAGCAACATGAGAAAGAAAAGAACTGCACTCAGAATTCACAATATATGCACATGCCTTAGAAATTAAAAATATATGGTAACTCAGAAACTGATAGTCTGATTTATGTGAGGAGTCCAAGTAACATTCTATGTTCATTTGATGACTAGACACCTGATCAAATTTAGTGTATACATTCTATAGAACTACTGCTCTGATCAAATTTAGTGTATACATTATATAGAATCTTTCATGATACTTACGCAGGGTGAGCACCAATAAGAGCTACAACCATCATCGTACAGTTATGAGCAGCTTTTGATTGCAAGTTGTCAAAAGGGGAGCTTCACCATCTTTTAATTTCTCAATAGGGGCCCGATTATCAGCATAGATATGTGATGCAACTACCCGAGAGAATTATAAAATATAATACTAAGTCATGATATGCAAAATGGAGCTTGCCTAATTGTAGATTGAAAATGGGCTTATATAACATAGAATAAAGAAAAAAATCGGAGTCATATATTAAGTGGGCCTCATATTTAAATATACACATTCTCTCATGTAAATAGACTAGCAAAGATTTTCTTTGTTTCCACTAAATACATTACATTAAAAATGCAGAGAGCCATGCACAAAGATTATCTTCTGTTTCTATGCAAATGAATAAATGAATGTCTGTTATTTCTAGTCATATTAAAAATAGACTACAAAACACTAGTCCTTTGTATCAACACCTGGAAATGTCATTTAAATTCAGCAAACCTACTGCTAGACTCGGTTATAACCAACATACAAAATCTGAGTACTTAACTTCAATTAATGCATTAATATGCAGATATAGTATTTCCCAACTGATCATTCCTACTAATATATTATCCATATATGATAGATCTTGGTGTTTCTAATACAAAGATTCATCAAAGGTTGCATAAATATCATCTATCTCATTAAAATTTTGCACTAAACATATCCTTGCTTAAACAAATACTATGAAAAACTATCAAGGTTCTTTCACTTAAATGATCTCATATCCTTCATCATAAGTGATTTAGAAATCCGACGGCGTGAGTATTGAGTATGATCACACTGTACAAGGAGACCACCAAAGACAACTATGCTAGCTAAATCCAAGATAATCATAATGTTTTGACATATTCAAATTAAAGCAGAAAGGATTGCCTTACCCACTGATACAAGGGGATCATTGAGCCTTTGACTTTGACGCTATGCTTCCATTTCTTGGCTCTACAACCAGTGTGCTTTTTCCATTCACTTAATGACTACTTCCTTGTCTCACATTTACCACACTTACACACAACCCTAATAAGAAGAGCACAGGTAATCAAATTAATAGCAGATTGTTTGCAAAATGTAAAAAAAGAATTTAAAAGAGCATAATATATAATTTTTGTAACCTTTAGAACTTACAAGTGAAGGCTTAGGATATATGATGCCTCCATACCATTGCACGCAATAGTTACCTCATCGGATGGCACAGGTTGTCTGTATCATACAATAGTAACTTTTACTAAATTGTTTGAGCTCAAAATAGGTTGTATAAATGCCAGTAACTACAATAATAGTAATAATAATAAAAGTATTTACTGTAAATCTATAATAAATTATCCATAACAATATTAATAATGATGATAACAATGAAAGTAAAGTAACAGTAACAACAAACAGAAGTAAACACAAACTTTGGGTTGACTTCAAGTAGAGCTACAGAGTATGATGGCTCAAATGCAAACTTTGGCTTGCAATCAGTAATATTCCGCATCTTCCAAATCCTTAGATAGAAACAGAATGTACAAATAAATCATCTAAAACAGTCTTTACAAGCACCAGGTCTTGTCAATAAAACAAAAACAAAGAGTGAACCAACCTTGAGATTTTTGCCACAGATTTCAGCACACTCAGCATGCTCCAAAACATCACAGCCATCACAACAAACCTATGCGAGAAACAATTACTATACACACAAAATATTGACAAATCTCACGAGCAAAAAGCAGTACTTCAAAATTAAATTGTTTGACCAAAATTGAGTTCCTACATACCTATTTCTTAAGAATTAAGTGATTTATAGACAAAACCAAAATTCAACATTGATCACAGATATAAATCAAACCTCAACATAACAAACCTACGTTAATATACATATCAAAGACAAAATCGATAAGCCCAATATCAAGTTCAATTTTTTCTGTAATTAGGGTCAGATTATCACGAAAATGCAGAAAAATTATCAAGAGACATCCTTTACCTCATCATCATCAAAATCATCACCATACCCAACCTTCACATGGCCACAATACCCGGGTTAAATCCCGTACCCAAGTTCGCTCCACTACACATCAGTAATTTGAAAGCTCAAAAACACGGATCTATATGATTTCAAGAAATCAGACAATGAAATGTTGTCAAAATTCAGTAATAGCAGTGCTGCATGTAATTGAGAAAGGAACAATTTCTATGGAGTATTATAGAATTAAAATCGAAAATCATAAAACCCTTGGTTTCCGAAAACATGAAATTGTAAATTTGAGAAAAATAAAAACTCAAAAATCACGAAATAAAGAAATTAATTAAAGAGAAAATAAGAAAAAAGCACGAACCTTCAGGGAAAATCATTTTACGAGGGGGAAACGACGAGAGGTGGGTTTGTATCAGCTCCTTGCGCCACTACCGCCGTTGCTAGGACCGACCGACCGACTGACGCGCCGTGAACATGAATAGAGGGAAGCGGGAGGAATGGACGGCGACACGGTGGAGAGAGGAAAGAGAGAGAGAAGAGGGAGATCTAGTTGAGGAGAGAGGAGAGAGAACACGAGATGGAGGAAAGAGAGAGAGAAGGCGACATGTGAAAGAAAATAGAGGGGCGATTTTTTTTTTATTATTGCCACCAGTTTGAACCGGTGGCCTTTAAAACATATGCCAACGGTTCGGTTTAAACCGGTGGCAATTAAAAAAAAGCCTAATCCTGCCCATTTTTTCCCCACCGGTTTTCTAAAACCGGTGGGCATGGCTCGGTGCCTTTTTGTATTTTTCTACTAGTGTAAGACTTGAATAAAGAGGTTGTCCTTGATTAATCGCCCTTCTCTCCTCGACCAAGTACTGTGGAAAAGGAATTTGGGGATATTCATTGTTAATTATTTGAGTCAAACTCTATCCAACATGCAATGGATGGAGGAAGTGAAGAAAAATGATGTAGATGGAGGGATATGAAGAATTAGGAATGGAATGTACCCCCAACTCAAATGACAGAAAAAAAATCGACTCATTCATGAACCTAAGACATGGTCGTGGTGATATATACTTAAAGTGTGTGCTAAAACTAGTGAGTGTAATGAGTGTAGGTGACATATTAAGACTCGTGTCATGACCATGTGGCTAGACTATGTGACTAGATTAAAGAAAAGACCAAGTTAAGACTTCATGTATATGCATTAACCGGACAGGCTGTAATATTTTAGTCATAGCTTTTAATCTGTGACTTTGATTGGGATGAAACCAGCGCCAAATTAAAGATAAAACTCGGGGCTACAGATCCATAGGTTGTACGTCGTAGTTCTTCCTAGAACTCCGTCTATGACCAAAACAAGTTGACGTTTGTGCCGTATACGGGAATAAAAATTCGGGTTGACTTGAAGGGACTATGACTCGATTTTAGACATATATATTAGATCAAATTAATTAATTAAGCAAATTCCTTTAGTCATTAATTAGTTTATTAAGACTTATTTACAAGCAAAAGTCAAACCAAACGGTTAGCTTAGTCAGATAATAAGTATGCACAAGTAAGAGATGCACAAGTAGTCAAGTAGTCACAACATGATGCAATGAGTTTGCAACCTAACCATGACTCTAGTTCTCTAAAATTCGGGATATGGGTTAGTAAAAAAGGGTCCATGGTTAATTCTCCGGATGCACCGCGCGGAAGCGTAACCGTGAAGGGTTGGCGTGAGTGGACGGGGCACCGGGAGTTATGAAAAACTCACTTCCATGGTTTGGTGAATTAAATATTCTCGGATGTACCCTTTGTTGCACAGAGCGTTCGATCAGGTAGATGGAGCATGAATACCCATAGGGTTATGTCCATATGTAGAACACATATGGGTTTCAGAAAAGTGAGAAAAACTCAATCAGGAAGTAGGATCGAGCAAACAGTGCTAAAAAACTGGTCAAAATTAGAACGCATATTTCTGGCTCGGTATTGAAAGAACTTGGCGCCAGCAAACAGAGGCCGGCGCCAACGATTAGGCTTTAGAGCTTGGTGACATAAGCTGTCGACTAGCGCTAAAGTCAAATTGATGGCGCTAGACTCTGTTTCCTTACGCTAGTTCCTACATGCCTCAGCAGCTTTCTGTGCTCGATAAAATTTTCCAGTATTCGCGTAGCATTATTTCGATTCTAGTTGTGAAAGATATTCCTCAAATTTCCTACCTATAAAAATCCTATGTTTTAATCATTACGGATGGTATTTCCAATGAGATATTTTTTATGCATATGACAATAATGCTAATCAAAATTACACACACTCGAAATACTTAGAACTTTTTGAGTCTCATCCACTCATTCTAAATCATTGCTAAAATAAATTTCAGGAATTAAAATAGAAATCCTCCCTAATGGAGTCGCCAAAAACTATAGGGAATATTTCAAGCATTACCCTAAACTTGAACCCCACTGTGATCATACACTTAAGTACGGTGGCGTCCAAAGAGAAAGAAGATAGAGCAAAACCGTTCACAGGGTGAAGGTTACACCCCTTAACGATCCAGGAGATCGTCAACTCCAATAGGTCTGGAACCATGACTGGTAGTTTGGGGATGAAGATACAAATCCAACCTAAAAGAGATTGAACCTGTCCTAATAATAATCCTCTACTTTATTCTGATCGTATTCATGTGCGCTTTATGACTAACATGAAATCAATAGGATTAACCCTAAACCTGTTTATCTATGTTGGCTGAATATTAATGCACAAATAAAACTATTATTGGCGATCACTTGAATTATAATCATATTAACCCTAAACAAGATTATTAATTATCTTATTAAGCGTGATTACAAGTACAAATTCCCTTTAAATATGCATAAAAGGCGTGATCAAGCAATAACAATAAATATCAACCAACATTATAATAAGTGTAATAATCAAAATCATAATAATAATAATCATGATAATAATAATCATCATAAATTAATCATATTTATCATAATCATGTTAAAGCATAATATTAATAGCAAGATGCTAGGCATTATACTAACAAGATTAATAACAAACCCTAGCATGTCACTAAATATCAAAGATCAAAGCTTTATCCCTAACATGATACTAACATGAATATTAGGAAAGAATATAGGAAGCATCGCTGGAATCATAATAAGCATATTTGATATTATAACCTTTTCCCTAAACATAATAATAGGAATCATTGTTGTCATTCAAAACATCAAGCTTCCTAACATGATACTAGGAATCATAATAACAAACTAGACATGATTTCTATATCATAATATCAATTAAACAATTAAAGTACTTACTTGGATGCCTCGTATCTCTTTCTAATAACAAAATACACGCGTTAGTAACTTCAAGAAAAATATAAAACAAACAATTAAATTAAATAATTGAAAGAGAGAATTGGGACCAAACCCTCAGAAATTAAAACCTTTCACGTCTAGGGCGAAGGAATTTTTGAACAATGCTAGGTGTGTCTAGTGCTAATGTATGAAGAATTGTGTTTGTAAAAGGCTAGGCTAGAAAGAGGGAGAGAGAATCAAGAATTTTTTGATGAGAGTTGGTGATTGAAAAAAGGGATATATGGCCTCTATTTATAGAGAAAAAAGAGGGTCAGAAAATAAATAAAAGAATCCGAATTCGAATCGAAATAAAACTCGATGGACAACAGTTTTTTGCGGATTTTGTTTTTATCATATCTTTTGATCCAGAAGTCCAAATAACGCATATGATATGTCGTTGGAAAGCCCTTGAGGGATCTTAAAGTCTACTTTGCAACCCATTTGGAAGCAGATTAATATCTTTTGTAGATAAAAAGATATGGCTGAAATAGTAGGACGGTGTCAGTTTTGGATAGAGTTTCATATCCCATTCATATCTTTTTTGTTATAACTCGGATTTAATATTATAATATATCATTGGAAAGATAATTTCAAGATCTATCCAAACATATAAAATTTTAATTAAGATTATGAGCCAAGAAATAAATATATGACTGTCTTTGATAACTTTAAATTAATATAAAATTGGAAAGTTTTTATAAAAGGAAAGTTTTTATTTAACTCAAATTCTTTATTCTTATCTTTTCAAAAAGGATAATTAAGATCTTTTAGAAACTTATAGAAGCTTCTAATTAATCCTAATTAGTTTAGGAACATGATTGGACCTTTGAAACCTCCACATGATCACTGGGTCGTAGGTAAAATCTAGTTTGGGCCCAGTTTAGTATTTTGACCATAACTTCCTCATTATTTATCGGAATTGGGCTTATAATATATCGTTGGAAAGGTATTTTCAATCCCCATCAAACTACACCATTATTAGACTCATATCATGGATCAAACTAAACTGGAATGAACGTTTTTCAAAAATAGGGTAAGAAAAGAAATATTTTCAAAAAGAGAAAAAAAGATATTTTAATAAAAACATCCTCATCACTAGACTTTTCACACTTTCGCTTTGTTCGATAATCAAATGACATGAAAGGTATTCATCACTGGGTTTGGTTTTTGGGAGACACATTTGGGTGTCTACACTAAGTTTGTAACTGAACTTGGCCGTTAAACAGGTTACATACTCGAGCCATTTTTAAGTTTAACTTCAAAAACTAATCTTAGTGCATAATTGTTGTTTCAATACTTCAATTTACTATAGAGATTATAGAGTATGACAAGGATAGAGCAGAAGAAACAAAATCATGACATATACTTGCTCATATGAAAGTTTAGTACTCAATCATTCATCATGAAAATTGTATCAAGACACTTTATTAACATACGACAGACAATTTCATGAGTTAGAATGTAAACAAAAGACTCGTAAATTCTAAATTAAGGAGTCTTCATTTAAAATTATTCTCCATTTTTGCACACATTGGAATTTCGCAAGGAGGATAACATCTACTTTCTCGAGATTCAAAACAGTGACAAAATTTGAACTTAAAAGAAAGAACTCAAAAGTAGCAAGAATTGACGAAAAATTTGAACAACATTTCATTTTTTCCCCTTACTTGTTCTAATGAATGACCAATATTACTAGACTTAGCAAATTTCTTTGTTAAAACTATCAATGGTAAAAAAAAACGGTTTAAACACACTAGTTTAATCGCTTCCAAGATCCTAGTTGTTATCATAATAAGACAAAACACGGAATTTAAAGACCCATTTTAAGCAACATGATAGGGTTTAATTATTGACAACAAGAAAATGTCGAAGTCACCCAACACTAGGGGCTACAACATTCGAAAACATAAAATGGGGGCTCAAAAGCCCGAAGTATAGCCAAACTATTCCAGTTCAATGATTTGTTCAAGAATTTCCTAGTTTTGTGGAAATCTTGAAATCACAGTTTTATAAGTGAATAATAATAACCATCGGTTATTTTTTATCATTGATGAAACCAATTTTGCAAGTTACGCATGAAAAATATATGAGTCACAAGAACAAATTGATGCTATTATAAAAGTTCAAAAATTCATTTATAATTTTAATGCATAATTGTTGTTCTAAACACTTCAATTTACATTAAAATTAACAAGTATAGTCTATGTGAGCAAAAAAAAAGAGAAATAAAGATCAAGCACAAAGTTAAAATTAGAATGAACAATAAAAAACACGTATATGCTTGAAATGCTCATACAAGATCAATACTTTATCACTTTACATGAAAATTGTTGTAATATATTGCTTAAAT